TTTTAAATGCATCAGAAGTTGACTTTTCCTATGCTTAACGTTCAAGTACTATGCCACTGTCATATGAATCAGGACGTTACTATTTTAATAAACTAAGCTGTACATTATAACCAGATCGTATTTTTCAGCCTCCAAAATATCATTTCTTTTTAAGTTTCTAAGAAATTAGAAATATCATCTAGCAATTCAGAGGATTTGAGTTTTCCTGAGAAAACTCTCCCAACATGGTGAAGTTGGCAGTACTCATAACCGATGAATGAAAGACCTAGGATTCATACTCACAGCCACTGAATGACAGGCCTTAGAAGAACTGGTACAGGAGCAGGTAAATGCTCAGCACATTGAGGAATCAACCAGCCCCTGGAATTTTCCTGTATTTGTTATTAAAAAGAAATCTGGAAAATGGAGAATGGTAACAGATCTAAGAGCTGTTAATATGATGATTCAGCCAATGGGCTCTCTACAGCCTGGAATTTCTTTGCTTTATTACCTAAGGATGGCCTCTTATAGTTATTGATTTAAAAGATGTTTTCTTCACTATACCTTCACAAGAAAGACAGAAAAAATTGCTTTAACAGTGTACCTATAATAACCCTCAGCCTGTTAAGAGATATTAATGGAAGGTTCTCCCATAGAGAATGTTAAATAGTGCCCCCCCCACCAATATTTTGTAAGTCAGCCATTGGAAATGATACATAAGCAATTTCCTCAATCTACAGTTTACCATTATAGAGGAAATATTTTACTAGCTGACTCAAATGTAGATACTTAGAATGTTTGAAGAAGTGAAGAAAAATTTGCCTTGTTAGGGATTACATATTGCTCATGGAAAAAAAAATACAAAGAGGAGATTCTATGAATTATTTAGGATATAAAATAGGTCTACAGAAAATCATACCCAAAGGTTCAAGTTATGAGAGATTGATTGTTGACTCCTAATGACTTTCAAAGATTGCTAGGAGACATTTCCTATTTAAGGCCCACTATTGGGAGTAGAAAAACATGAACTGAGTCATTTGTTCAGAATATTAGATGGCGACAAGGACTTAAATAGTCCAGGAGAATTATCAGCTGAAGTTAAGAAGGAAGTGGGTTTGGTGGGAAAGAAATTACAGGATGCACATGTGGATCATTTGGATCTAAAACTTGATTGCATTTTGGTTATTTTACCCTCTAAGCATTCTCCTACAGGGATAGTAATACAGAGGGAAGATGCTATCTTAGAATGGTTCCTTTTACCACATAAACTGAGTAAAAAATTAAAAACTTATGTGGGAAAGGTCTCTGAGTTGATTCTAAAAGGAAAATTGAGATTTCACCAATTACCAGGAATAGCCCCACAGGAATCGTAGTACCTTTTACTAATGATGAAATTGACAAATTATGGGGAGAAAGTGAACCTCGGCAAAGAGCTTGCAGTAATCTTTTGGGAGAGATTAACAAATATCCCAAAAGCAAGATGATTCAATTTGTAAAGAGAACCAACTGGATCCTTCCTCACATTATACAGTGAACACCAGTCTCTGGAGGCCCCACATTGTATGTTGATGCAAATAAACCAGGAAAGGCAGGCTACAAATCACAAAATTTAAGTAGTGTGGATCAAAGCCCTTATGACTCTTTCCAAAAGTCAAAATTAATGTTATTCTCATGGTGTTAATGGATTTTATGGACCTCTCAACATAGTTACTGACTTGCAATATGCAGAAAGAGTTTTGCATATGGAAACCACTGAATTTATATCAGATGATACAGAATTAACTTTATTATTTATTTAGTGACAAGAAATAATTGGCAGTAGGAATCATCCCATATACATAACACGCATCCCATATGGGTCTGCCAGGTCCTCTAGCACAAGGTAATGTGGAAATTGATCAATCATTAATTGGAAATGAGCTGGAGGCCCCAGAATTTCATAAAAAACATCATGCCAATAGCAAAAGTTTGAAAAAGAGTTGTCTATCACTTGGCAACAAGCCAAGGAAATTATAAGAAAATGCCTTACTTGTTCTTGATACAGCCAAACTCCACTACCTGCAGGAAGTAGCCCAAAAGGTACTCAAAGGGATGCAATCTGGCAGATGGATGTGTTCCATTTTATACAATTTGGAACATTATAATATGTATACAATACCATTCATACCTATTCAGGATTTTAATGAGTTCTGAAAAGGCTGATTCGGTAATCACATACTTGCCAGAAGTTATGGCCATCATGGGTATACCTGTACAGATTAAGACTGGCAATGTTTCAGCATATGTCTTTAGTAAAATGAAAGCTTTTGCTTATTGCAATATTAAGCATATCATAGGCATACCACACAATTCTACAGGGCAAGCAGGTATAGAAAGAGCAAATCAAACTCTAAAGGATATGCTAAATAAACAGAAAGGGGTAATAAAGATCCCTGAAATAGATGGCATAATGCTTTTTTACTTTGAATTTCCCAAATGCTAATGAGAAAGGAACAACAGCTGTGGAGAAATGTTGGATAATAGAAAAACTATGGAATTAAATCAGGCAGTATACTTTAAAGATGTGCCGACCTCACAATGGAAACCAGGATGTGTTAACATCGGGGAGGGGTTTGCTTTTGTTTCCACAGAGAAGAAAAGCTGTCAAAATTGATAAAGATTAGATTCGAGCAAGAGACACCTCTCGATTAAAAGAGGTGGTAGTTCTTCAAACAGTATGGCTGCTTAATCTAAACTAAACCTTAAAACTAACAAATGATTTTCATTTGACCAGAAATAACTTGCCATGAGGAAACCTCCCCAAAGTTAGGTGCAGGAAAGTCTGTACCTGCTCTCTTTCTTATCCTAATACAGATGCTCACTGTGTACAAGGTTACCTTCCTAACTGTACCTGGAATGCTGGCAGTGCACCAGCGAGTCATGCCACACTCTGAAGCCTATATTCGTAAGCATCCTTATCATTTGTGTGTGTGTGTGTGTGTGTGTGTGTGTGTGTGTGTGTGTGTGCGTCTTTTTCTAACTTGCATATCATCAGCTAATGAAACAGATTCAGATGCTGTGACTATAGTTAGTTTTAATAAGGGCTTAATGTATAAAGTTAGATAACATACGTGGTTTGCAAAAGATGAATAAAAAAGCAAATGGTTGCAATGAAGGATCAGTCTGGCCCCAGATTCGCCAGACATCAGGGCCTTGCAGAAGCACAGAAAAAGGCTTTGAGGCATGGCAACGGATACCAGATCACTTAGAGCCCTGATGTCCCCATCTGTAAAGGGCAAAAATTTTCATGAGTGACCTAAACCATACATTTTCCCTCTGAGTTCTAGATTAGTTCTGGTAAAACAAACTTTGGCAATGACTGTATTAGAAGCTGTCAGAATACTATTCCCAACAGGATTAATCATGCTGTAAAACTTGGAAAATAAAATTGTAAGTTTTCTGCCTAAAATGTTTTCCCCAGAAGGTTCTTCTGTTCATCAAATGGCAGCTACTTAACCCAGTCAAGGAGAAGTGAGGTAGCCTTAGGAAGGCATATGTAAGGGTGTCCAATCGTACCCATCAGCCTGGCCAAACACAAAATGTACTCGTGGCAAGAAGTACAAATGGTAAGCAGGGAATCTTAGACTTTATTGGGCGTAAACAGTACGTCGGTCTCGTACCAAAACATCCAAGAATTTCAGAGAGCATGGCTTAAAGTCTGCATTAAAAAATAGGACTTCTGGCTTATTATCACTATCCAGGAAAACAACCAAGGGACATCCACTTAGATTATCAAAAGAGAAAATTCCACAGAGAAAACAGGGCTATATGTTGGAAATATTTTAAATGGTGAAAGAAATACGAAAGCTACTATTACTTAAAGTCACAATGTCTTTACTCATGACTTCAAAAAGCAGTTTTCATGAAACTGAATGAGAGCTTGTGAACAAAACTGATGAGACTGGAAGGAAGGGAACTCTGATTAAACTTTCTATTACGAAATATGAAATCATCAGCTCAGAGAGCATAAAGCTGAACAGATTTCCGTTAAATTGGGGTCATTGACTCAAAATAGACTAAAAGAATTAAAATGGTTAAACTCCAATTTTTCCTGTGTCATAAGTTAAAAGAACTCTCAACAAAAATTTCCTAGTAAGTTCTATATCTAGGGGGAAACAAAGAAAGGAAAACCGTGTCATTTGGGAATACAGAAGTCAGTTACAACACAGGAGGTTCCTTTTTTCTTGAAATTTAGCTATTTCCACGTCTCATTTAAGGTACTGTTCCTGACATGTTAATACTGTTAATTATCAGAAAAAGGAAAATCACTAATAGTCAAAAGTGTACTCATATAAAGTACAAGCTTTTCCTCAGGATAACAAAAGTAGTTACCAAAAGAACAACAACAAAACTTGAATATTAGTAACTTTCCTCACTAAAAGCAGTTCAGTTACAGGAATTCACATACTTTCCTTCTAGACCAGCAGCATAAATTGAGGTTTTTCTTACATTCCTCCCAAATAATGTCTATAAACTCCTTAAGTGCACAGTAACATGTTTTGGAAAGAGAATATTCCTGAAAATGTCATTGAAAACACAATCAAAATGCAAGTCGGACAACACAGGTCTGTGGAAAAGTATCACTGACAGACAGGTTCACAATGCGAAGGACGAGGGTACTTCCCAAGAAAGCTGACATGTTTCCTGGGTCTTAGGAAGATAGGTTGGGCTAGAAAACAGCATCATGACCTCCTCACGCAGAGGCACAGTTGTCTCTGAGTAAAGGACAGAAGGGACTTTCTGCAGGGCTGGGGGTGGGGACTCCCGCCTCTGATACCATCTCTTTGAGTTGTAACAGGAATGAACAACTCCCCCCCAAAAAACCAAACCCCCCCCCCCAAAACCTAGACGGGCCTTTCTTAAAATTGGCATAATATTTTCCTTAAAATGAACACACATATGAAAATAAGGAAACAGGAAATAGGCCCTAGCCCAAACACCTCTGAAACTACTTTAAAGTTCCAAACCCCAGCACACATCAGTTTTAGCAATTAAATCTTTTATTCAGAACCTGTATCTTTGTTTTAGGAGTGGTATAAACAAAATAAAATATGAGCAATATATTAACATGATCGCTGCAGTTACACCCTGCAAAGGACAGAGTAGAAAGAGCTCATAAATGTTTATGCTTTGCAATCATCCTAGATACCTTATGGCAGCAAAGTTTGGCAAAAAAAGGATAAATTCATTTCTTATTAAAAGTACTTGAAGGATTGCCAAGATTATCAATTGTGCCATAAATATAACAGCAGTTTATTCGAAAATGCCCTTACCTCCCTCTCCTATTCCTAAAAGACCTGCCTACACAGGTATCTACTAACACAGGTCAGGGCTTCAAAGCAACAATTGCCCTGTAAATCCACTCTTAGCTTTATATTGAGTAAACACGCACTCATTTCCCTTTCCAGTCTCGAAGCGAAAACACTTTTGTGAAAAGAACAACCGAAAATCACTGCATCGTGGCTTCTATTTTTCTTCCAGCTCGTTTTCGCTTCCTTCCACTATCTGTTCCTCCTCCTCATCGCCAAAAGTCTGTTCCTGCATGGTGGTGAACGACAGAGATCTGGCAGCCACTTCCGCAGCCAGGCCAGCAGTGAAGGTGAATTCTGGTGACAACTGCAGTCGGGCAAGCCTCTGCTTAATGGAGAGCTGTAGGGAGTCCCTGGGAGTTGGAGGGGCAGAGGCTCCGGCGGCGGCGGCGGCAGCAGCTTGAGGAGACTCAGCCCGGCTCTCACACTGGTAGGACCTTCTTTCTTCAGTTCCTTCGAGGAAGGCTTCATTTTCAGAAGTGTCTTTATCTTCACCCTCAGGAGGGCCATCACACACAAACTCAGTCCTATTTCTTTCAAGGTCATGTGTAGAGGGCTTACTATCTTCCTCTTCAGTACCATTCCTATCGACTTTTCCTGTATCTGAATTCATGGGTGTTTCTGAATTACTTACAGATTCCATTGGGTCTACAGGAGACAAGGATTTCAACACAGCTTCAAAGAACAAAAAGAGGAAAAGAAAAGAAAAAAACAAAAATAACTAAGAACCCAATGACTTTAAATCCCCAGTAGCTTTTAAAAAAAGGAACAACAAATAAATAAAAGCTCAATAAAACTTTCTAGTAAAATAAATGAAACTTTATAAAATGGGAATGTTATGACATAAAATGAGACAGGGGCTTGCTGAAGAATCTGGAGTTCAAAGGCAGTGGCTCTCAGAGAGTGGCCCTTGAAGCAGCAGAACCATCTATTCCTTAGGATGCTGTTGGAAACAGACAGGTAACTGGACACTGGGGCTGGGGCGGGCATATTTACAAGCTACCCGCTTGACTCTCATGTACACCAAAGCCTGGAGACTATTGTCTTTAAAGGAACACATAGCGTGGTTTTTCCACCACAGAGATAAAAAGCCTGATGGGACCCAGATAACAGCATCTTCATCGCATATATATTTACAATGGAACATACAATTCAATTTGCTTGTCAACCACCTAACAGAACCTGAATGGAAATGAAGTATTCAACAGTTTGTTGTGCTATGGAGAACACAAATGAAGTAAAATCTGCATTCAAGATCAACTACCAAAGTGTAATACATCCATATCACATAGATCCACACAGTAGAAGTTGTCCTTGCAAGAAAAATGAAGGTTTAGTTAGCCCCTCTTGGTGTTAGTAGGCAGTGGATTGCTTGCTATGCAGTCTCTCCTCCCAGCATGAGGGTTAGTACAATACAATACATTATGAAGCAGGACGGAAGGAAAAAACTGTATCTTGAAGATCTGGCGTACATTTAAAAAGCATTTGTGGAAAGCGTGTCCATTTCCAAGAAACATCCCTATGCTGCAGTAACTCCACTAGGGAAGCAGCAACAACAGACACATGGCCACAGCAGGTTCCAGTGTAGGCTTTCCCTTTCTAATTCCATTCGGACTTTACCCCTGTAGGCAGAGATGAAAACAACTCTGGAAGACGTACTGAAAATTTTTCGGGGAAAGCATTTTTCTGGCATCAGCAGATCTTTACTCATTTCCACAAACTTATAGCATTACTGCCTTTTCAAATGCAAATGGAACCGAAATCATGTTCCGGAAAAAAATTAGACCCATTGCCCACCATGTCAATCAATGGGTAATTTTACAGCTAAATAACATGAAGAAAACACTGCAATAACAAAAGACACAAGCTTATAGAGAATGCCATTTCAGCATTTCTGCACACTCTTGTTCATACATATGCTAGGTCCTCACGCGTGTATCATGCTGTGAGTCATGATCGTTGCTAACTGAATGAGGGAGGCAGAAGGGTCAGCTGATGGCAGTGTTAGGATGTAAGTCTCTAGGGCAGTAGGTAGTTTTTGTTTGTTGATCTAAGTGCTACATACAGTCAATAGTGTCAGGTGTTTGACCTGTACTCGATAACTACTTGCTTATTCAAAATTTGCTGAATGAATACTGCTGGAGGAAAGTGAGAAGAAAGGACAGAAATTTAGAGACTAAAAGCCCTGAACACAGAAACTGTTCAGGTTCAGGAAAAAAATTAAATAAATAAATGAATAAATAAATAGCATCGATCTCTAACCCACGGACACGCTGATTATAGAACTTCCCTGCTGCTTCTGGGAAGCTCACCATTTCTTTGCTCTGCAGTTCAAGCCTTCATTACATCCTAGCTACATTCTCTCTGGTATGGAAGTGTACAGTGGCAGCAGAGGTGGGCAGTTGAGGAGTCCCAGAGTAAACACTGGTAGAGAGGACAGCTTGGTAGAGAGAGAGTTCTTGGTCGGAGACCAGCATACATTTTTGTCATGAAAACAGCAAGTCTGTGGGACTAATCTAATTAGATAAACGTAAGTTGAGAAATAATACCTTTAGTATAAATACTGGGGGGGAAGCGGACATGATGGATTCTTATGCTGGAAAGGGTAATATAATAAGAAAGGAAGGACCAATGTAGTTTGAAGACAGAGTAATGAGCTGTCACAAGACAGAGGAAGAAGGTACTGAAATGGAAGGCAGCTACGGGGCTAGTCTAATGGACAAACAGAATCTACTGGGGATTCTAAGGGAGCCAGTGGAGCAGAAAAGAAAGATGAAACCAACAAATACAGACTGGGATGGAGAGAAAGGGGAGGGTTCATAAGCGAGAACAGGAGAACCCTAAGGAACTTTCCGCTAGTAAGAAAGAGAGAGGCAGCCAGCTGGGTTTGAGGGTCCACATAGATACCTAGAATGGACGGAAGGCCCACTCCGCCTCCTTAGAAGTCCACATGAATTACGTCAACCGAGAATGAACTAAGCTGACCCTGCCAACATCAGGTTTCTCTCCATCCCTTCTTTTGCCTCCCATGAAGCAGGACAGAAGGAAAAAGTGAGGGTAACGTGAAGAAGTTGAAACTTGACTATGGAGTCAGTCTACAGAGGAACAGCTCCCCTGCTTCCATCTTTATGCATTTGCAGCATTAAACACTTACTAACGGTGAGTTTTCCTGAAGTACTTTAAATAGAGACCATAGCTTAGAATCTCACATTTGTCACTTTTCTCTGTCTGACCCCGCAAAAGGGGCTTGCTATGTAGGCCTACGGAGCACAAACTTGCAGCCGCAGCTGGCCTCAAACTCATGAGCTTTCTTTGCGGGGATTACAGCGCCACCATGGCCAGCTCAATGTAGTCAACTTAATGCCCGCTCTGAAAGAAAGCTACCAAAGAAGTAAGGAACTGACGAAAAAGCGTGACTTCACAGCCTCAGTGTGATGATACGGCATTCCTTTATTGATCAAATTGATGTGGCTTCTACAAGAGAGAACTACACTACCTGGCGGATCTGGGTTCTGCAGTTGAGACAGCATCCCTGGTTCAAACAGAAAAGACTCTGCCACTGGGATAACCTGGACTCTGCAGCCCGTGCTTACCGTGCTCACTGAACAGAAGCTGCTTCCACTTCTGCCTTTCTGCCTCGGAAGCTTTCAGTCCCAGCACAGATTTCAACTCCTGCAGCACCCTCCTGGACTCTTCCTGCTCACGCTTCTGTCTCTCTTTGTCTTCTCGAGACAGGTGATACAAATCCTCCTTTCGGAACTCACTTTCTATGTCTATGTCATCCACATACGCTTCTAATTCCTGAAAAGGGACCAAAGACAGACAACTTGCAGCAGTCTCTAACAGCATTCACCACCTGCAGCTCCGCGTCTTGGCGGACTTTCTCTTGGGACAGTCATTATGGTAGCTGGAGAGGAGAAAGGCAACAAACGTATCTACTGCTAAATTAAAATCTTCCAAGAGCTTAACAGTGGATACCAAAAAGCTGTCAACACTATTTAGTACTTTGAGTAATGAATCAAATTCAAGACACTAAGAGCTGATATTTCGATAAAAATTCATATTACATTATAGACTTTATCTCATTAGAAGCAGAAATTCAACAATTGATCTGACAGTACCCATGCCACCTAAAATAAAAGTACGCAAATTGTATCTGAACCCAGACTTCAGTGAAACCAGCACCTTTCACCCTTACCTGTTCCTCAGGGATGGGGTCTCTGTCCTCAATGTGCAGGGTAGGCCGCATCAAGGGCGCTGCAGTGCAGTGTGGGTTTTCACACACTACTTCAGGCTTGCCTTTAAAAAGGGTGGGGGCAGAATAAAGATAAGCAACAGGCCATCGGAAAGGAGTGAACATCTAATGATTAGGATGCTCTTGCCACTGACCCCTTGTTAGTTTCATAGTCCAACTTTCTGTTCTCCCCGGTTTGCTTGTTTTGAGAAAGGGTTTCCTAGGACCCCAGGTTAGTCTTAAACTAATGATCTTCCTACGTTAGGTTCATTGGTGGTACATTTTTGATGTGGACTGCCATACCTGCCTCCCAAATTGTTCTGATTAAAATGTCTTAGTTGTGAAAATTAAAGACACCAAAATGAACAGTAATACAAGTATATTTACCACTTGGCTTTAAGTTAAACTTTTGGAGGAAATGGCTGTACTATCTGTCACATGCTAGATGACACACAAATGCTCCACTCTCACAAAATACTTTGTTCATATCCTTGGGAGGATGTTAGAACAGATCATTACTCTTTCTCATAAACAAATGAAGATCACAGGACATGGCAGTACACACCTTTTATCTCAGCACAAGGGAGGCAGAGGCAGGTGGGCATCCAAGTTTGAGCTAACCTGGTCTATAGAGTGAGTTCCAGGACAGCCAGAGCTACAGAGAAATCCTGTCTCAAAAAGCAAACAAAAAATAATAAAAGAAGACAAAGTTCAATCCTATGTTCTTTTTATTTTTCCATTTTAACTCAGAATTGGAAATGAGTTTCACAGGTAAATATTTTTACCTGCTCACCCAAATTGAATTTCAATTTGGTATTTTATCACATGAATATATATGTAGTCCTGGCTGTCCTGTACAGAGTCCTGGAACTCACTCTGTAGACCTGTCTGGCCTCGAACTCAGAGATCAGCCTGCTTCTGCCTCCCGAGAGCTGGGATTAAAACTGTGTGCCAACACATCTGGCTTAAAACAGTTCTTTTATCGCTATACCTGTTAAGAGATTCTGGAAGTTCTGATAGTAGAAATACTATCAACGTTTCTCCCTTCATTTCACTTTTCATAAAGGGAGATGTGATGCCCTGAACATTCAAATCACTGTGTATTTTATATTAAAATAGGAGTCAAGCCTTAGAATTCATTCTCTCTCTCCCTCTCTCTATTTATCTATCTATACATATATATGTATATGTATCTTTTCTTTTGTTAAACAGAAAACTTTTTTTTGGTGGGGGGGGGCAATTACAAGACAGGGTTTCTCTGTGTAACAGCTCTAGCTGTCGTGGAACTAGTTCCTCAGACCAGGCTGTCCTGGAACTCACAGAGATCCTTCTGCCTCTGTTTCCCGAGAGCTATGATTAAAGGTGTGTGCCACCACTGCTCTGCCAAGAGCTTTTATGGAACCAGTTTAATCATGTTAACAGGTAGGCCACAGAATAGAAACCCAGCAGAATGGAGTGAGCATATTTGACAAGCATCTGATGAAAATAATCCACAGGTACCTTTTAAAGATTTAAATTAAAAACAATCTTATTTTACTTACGAATCCCAGTTCCCGGCCCCTCCTGTCCTCCCACTCCCCCAGCATTTCCTCAACCCCCCGCCCCACTCCTTAGAGGGGTGAGGCCTCCCATGGGAGATCGTCAAAGTCTGTCACATCATATGGGGCAGGACCTTTTTTATCTGTATTCCTCCGCAGCAGTTTATCTACTTGAGAAATGGCTTCTTCCCAGCAGCTGTTGCTGGCCTGAACATGGGGCTCAATGAGCCTTAGCTTCTGTTCCAGTATCGGATAAGCCTCAGACAGCAGCTCTTGTGTTTCCTTAGTGCAAACAAGCTTTTCAAGTTCATCTTCAAGAATTATTACTCTGTGAAACACACACACACACACACACACAAAGACAGATTTTTAAAATATGAAATGGAAATTTTATCATTTAAGAGATTTTAAGAAATTAAACCTATAAAAGAATTAAAACCAAGCAAAACCAAACCAAAACAAAATAACAACAACAACAACAACAACAACAAAAAAACAAAACAAAACAAAATAGCTCAAGCTGGGAGATGGTGACACACGCCTAATCCCAGGCCCAGAGAGGCAGAGGCAGGTGGATCTCTGAGTTCCCGGACAGCAGGGCTACACAGAGGAAACCTGCCTGGGATGGGGGTGGGTGGGTGGCAGGAAGGCCAGTTCTAGAGACAAATGGTGGTAAGTGTTGTTCAACAACGTGTGTGCATTTGCTACCAATGGACAGTACACTTATAAATGGTCGAGTGGGACTAGAGATGTAGCTCAGTGACAGAGTCCTTGGTTAGGAACCTAAAACGACCCCCAGCAACAAATGAAAATTCATGACGAGTATTATGTAATATGTTTAACAAGTATTTTTTATATACATACTAGACAATTTCTGATCTAAAAGAATACATGACACCCATCTCCTACTTTTAAGAAATTAACAAGGAAAATCATATATACATATCCATGTTGAAATTATATATAATGTATATTATATATATACTATACATATATAGTGTATTATCTGTAGACATCTTTATCTTACATGAATGACTATTTTGCTTGCAACGATCGATACCTCGCACCACATGTGTGCAGAGTCAGAGGAGGATGCTGGATCTCCTGGAACTGGAGTTCTGGATGAAAACCTCTCTCATAACTTACATTCAAGGGGCTGGAGTTAGCGTACTGGAATGGAGCGTGTACCCACTTGAGGCAGTGTATAACTATTTGTAACTCCAGTCCTAGAGTATCCAACACCCTCTTCTGGCCTCTGTTGGTGCCTGCATATAAGTGCACGGACACCTGCATAAATAATAATTTTTTAAACACACACACACACACACACACACACACACACTCATTCTGTTGGCTCTGTTGTTCTAGAGAGCTCTTCCTAATTCACTTAGATAACCTGACCTTTGCTCCCACACATGTGGGCATGGCCTTACTGTCCATGTTACCATCTTAGAATAATAAAGATAGGCCACTGGATATTCACACCTCACTTTTCCTATCCTATCTTTCATGTGTCTCATATTAACGTCTCAAAGGCCTTGAACTGAAGTAAAGCTTATCTTCTCAAATATGTTTCTGAGCTTACATTTCTTTTTTGGGGAGGTGCGTGGGGGGGTTTCTTTGTGTAGCTTTTGGAGCCTGTCCTGAAACTAGCTTTGTAGATCAGGCTGGCCTTGAACTCACAGAGATCTGCCTGCCTCTGCCTCCCAAGTGCTAGGATTAAAGGCATGCACCACCACTGCCCAGCCGTGCACACTTTCTTATCTCACATCTGATTTATGCATTTCTCCTTCCACTTCTTGGGTCACATATTCTATCAGCTGCAATCTTCTCACTGCAGTAAATCCCAGGGACCTTCCTGATTGCCAACACAACTTATCCACCTATTTGCTGTAGCTGTACACTAGGAATATTTCACATTTATTGAAAAAATTCAGCGGGAATCCAAGGTGTACTTGGATTCAATTCCTTCTTTTCTTTTTCCTTTTTCTCTTTTTTGGAGACAGGGTCTCTCTATATACTCTTCTGTAGACCAAGCTGGCCTTGAACTCAGAGACCCACATGCCTCTGCCTCCCCCATGTGCTGGGATTAAAAGGCATTCAGTACCAGGCCTGGCTTATTCAATTTTTAAAATGTGAAAATTTCCATTTAGAAATACATGAGAAAAATATTTGCAACTGATAAAAGTACACCGAAGCTGACTACGAACATTTGGAAACAATAGCTGAATGCCAATATTATGCAAAGTACAAGGCAAATATAAAAATGTGGACACCACCCTTTACTGAGGCCACAGAGATTATTCCGTGCTATTTCCAAAGCTGCTGTGATGTGTTTAGAAAGCAGCAAAGCATTATCCTTCAGCTGTATACAGCAATGCCTCTCAGACCGTGGGTTCCAGTTTAAAGTCCTGCCATAAGAGGGCTAAACAGATGCTCATTTTTGATAATTTTACCTCTCAAAGTAAAGGAGCATCTGCTTTCTACTGCAACCAGGAAAAGGGAAAATTACACATGATTCTCTTCAACCACAGTGCTTACAAATCGTTGTCTCCCTGATACCTCATACCCACAGACCATCCCTCATGCTCTGCTTTGTTTCTTCTTCCTAGTGAGGACGCACGAAACAGCCAACACGGAATGAAGGCGATGTTTGCTCATCCCTGTGATGTTCCCGCATGCAGCTTCTAAACTTACTCATTTAATAGGGCTTTCAGGTGGAGCTGTAAGCTGCGCACTGCTGTGTGGACATTATTCAGCTCTCTCGACTTCTGCTGAGTTCTGGATAAACGCTGGGGTACCGACTGGTGCTGAGTTTCAAAGTACCGAAAGAACTCGTAACTGCGCTTCAGCTCTTCCAAGCAGGCAGAGTGAGCATGAGGTAGACCTTGAGTCACATCAGATAGAATTCGGTGAGGCAAGAGAGCCTCAGTAAGTAAGGGCCCCGAAGGCGAGTTAGCTGTAGAAAGTAACAGGGCTAAGCGCCTGAAGAACTCGGAACTCTGTGCCACCCAGAGTTGGAACAAAACCTGAGAGAGAGAGAGAGGGGGGGGGGGAAGGAGAACAAGAACATACTGATCAATAACAGTACTGTCAATATTCAAACTATAAGTGTATTTAACTTCCAGCTTTTAACTTTTCACATTATCCTAAATAATGACTGAACTGCACCTGAGCAAACTCTTTAGATTAGCCAAGGGCGCTATACTGAATTATGTAGTCATAACGCATGCAATTTAGGATTCTAATACAGAAGCCAACACCTATATGTAATTCAGCACAGTTCTAGCCTAGATAGAAAGGAGAGATGGCTCAGTGCTCTTCCAGAGGACCTGGGTGAGATTCCCACCACCAATATGACACCTCACAAATGCTTGTGACTGCACCTCCTGGACAATATGAAACCTCTGACTTTGTGTGACATACACAGACACAGACAATTAAAAATAATAAAGTGAAGCTGGCTACGATGGCACATGCCTATAACCCCAGCACTTGGGAGACAGAGGCAGACAGGTCTGTTGAGTCTGAGGTCAGCCTGGTTTACACAGTGAATTTCAGGACAGTCAGGGATATACACAGAGAGACCCTGCCTCAAAAGCTTATTAGAAATGAGTCTTCCATTAAAAACATTTCAGGCTGGTGAGATGGCTCAGCAGGTAAAGATACTATGAACCTGACCATTTGAGCTGTTTCCAGTACTCACATGGTGTAAGAAGAGGTCTCCTACAAGCTGCCCTCTGACCCCCACAGGAATGCTGTGTTATGTGTGCACCCATATATATATATATATATATATATATATATATATATATATATATATATATATCTCAAGAATTTGAGGCTGAAGAGATGACTGAAGAGCTCAGCAGTTAACAGTATTTTTTCTCTTGCAGAGCCACAGGCTGGGTTCTGTTCTTAGCACTCAGATGCCAGACAGCTTACAACCATCTGGAATTCCAGTTCCAGATGGTCATTGAACAGAAGCACCGCACACATGTGGTGTATAGACATATGTACAGGCAAAACATCCATACAGGTAAAGCAAGCAAGCAAGCAAGCAAGCAAGCAAGCAAACAAACAAACAAACAGGGATTTGGGGTTCAAGCAGGCTGTGGTGGTTCACACCTTTAATCCCACTCAGGAAGCAGAGGCAAACAGATCTCTGCAAGTTCTAGGCCAACGAAGGCTACACAGTAAGACCTTATCTCAAGAATGAAAAAAAAAAAAAGCATGATTCAAAATGAGACTGCTACTTTGTTCTAAGAATAGCACGTCTGGCATAAAAACTGCATTTCTATTTCTTTTAAATTAACTTCAAAAAATATTATGTGTGAACACTTGTGTGGTTATGTGCATATGAGAGTGTAAGTGGCTACAGACTCCAAAGGAGGGTGTCAGATGCCCTGGAGTAAGAGTCATGGGTGGCTATGAGCTGCCTAACACAGGTATTGGGAACTGAACTTGGATCCTTAGCAAGAACATTATGTGCTCTTAGCTGAGCCATCTGCCCAATCTCTGTAAACTTATGCTTGAGAGACATAGCAGAAAGCAGACAGCTAAGGATCTCTGCAGACACAGTCCTAACACAAGGACAACAGCCTGAAAGAGTGGTCCTGGGGAGAGCAGCCAGACTCCAGCTTTCTGGGACAGATGTTAAAAAGAAGCAAGCTGGCATCCAATTGATGCTTTAAGAAAAGATTGACTTATCATTGAATGTTACACATCGAAGTTCAGAAACATATTTTTTCCCCGTTTGTTCTTTGGATAATGCATACATCTTGTTTTCTGTTTGTTCTTTTGGATGAACAGCTTTGGCTAAGGGAATACCCAAAACTTATCATCGAGGAGCAAGTTATGATTTTTAAATACTTTGTGGCATCTGGCTTCCTTCCTTCCTTTTGATTATTTATTTATTTATTTATTTATTTATTTATTTATTTATTTATTTATTATGAATACAGGGTTCTCCCTTCAAGCCAGGAGAGGGCACCAGATCTTATTATAGAAGGTGGTGAGCTACCACATAGTTGCTGGGAACTGAACTCAGGACCTCTGGAAGCGTGGACAGTGCTCTTAATCTTTGAGCCATCTCTCCAGCTAGTTAAACACTTAAAGAATCCAGGCATGGTGACACACACTTATAGTCCTGGTCACTCAGCAAACTAGAGGATTACTTGAGATCATGAGTTCAAAACTAGAGGAACAACATAGTGAGACCCTGCCTCAAAAAACTAGCAAGCAAGCACACAAGCAACCAAAACACCGCAACAAAGTTAAGAAAAAAGTCTTCTACTCCTTTTAGGGAGATAAACACACTCACTGTACTAGGGATTATTTATTTATCTTTGAGATGGCGTCTTACCACACAGGCTAGCCTCAAACTTCTAGGCCAGATGAGCTTCCAAAAGCTCAGCTTCCCAAAGCAGCCAAGACTACGGGTGTATGTCATCACACCTACCTCATGACTAAGGCTTTATATACCTCTTTGAGGAAGTGATTTTCTATTCCCTGACAGTGCAACATTTGATATTACTAAGCTATTCAGAGGGAAGAGCTGTAAATAGTAAAGGGTAAACCCAAACACGTTTTCTTCAAAGGACACAATGAAAACCATAAAGGAAAACAAAAGGACATTACTTGTCACTCATCCAGTTTTAGGGAATTTAGTGTGGCTCTTTCTGCCATCTTTCTGCGCTGTCACCTTGGTGCACATGAATGTCCTGGCTGATGCTCTGAAGAGCATCAACAATGTTGGGAAGAGAGGCAAACACCAGGTCCTCATGAGACCCTACTCCAAAGTCATCGCTCAGTTCCTAACTGTGATAATGAAGCACGGTTACATAGGTGAGTTTGAAATCATCGATGACCACAGAGCTGGGAAAATTGTCGTGAACCTCACAGGCAGGTTGAACAGGTGTGGAGTGATCAGCCCTAGATTTGATGTGCAGCTCAAAGACCTAGAAAAATGGCCGAACAGTCTGCTCCCAACCCTTCAGTTTGGCTTCATTGTACTGACAACCTCAGCTGGCATCATGGACCATGAAGAAGCAAGATGAAACACATCTAGAGATGTAACATATATAAATAAAAAGCCTCCATGGACAAGAAAGGAAGTTTAGTGTGTGTGTGTGTGTGCGCGCGCGTGCCTGTGCACGTGTGGCAATGAGTTCATTCCTTCCACTATGCCGGTTCTGGGGATCAACTCATGTCACCTCACCACCCAGTAAATCACTTCTCACTTGGTCTTTTTTAAAAATAAAGCTTTAGACTTGTTCTGAGAGAGGGTTCTTTGAACTTCCATGGCTATAAATGTTACAGATCTCAAGACAAGGCCCCTTTTAGAGCTTAAGGACTCTGGGTACCAACACAACACAATTACTGAATTTGGTAGTAGATTTGCTCCATGTTAGAAATAAATAATTGTAAGAACCCAAGTTGGAAGATTTACAAGAGTAAACAAATAGGACCCAGTTAAAGTCAGTGTAACTTGGGGGAAGGTTGGGCAGAGGACACCAGAGGACAAGTCACTGTTTAGAGCAGGTCAAATCTGCTACAAAGTAACAGCTCAGTTAACATCCACTGGGCTTTTACTCTGCCAGGGTCTGGACCGGCAAATGTTTAATATTTTGGAGCTAGGCACTGTGATGGATGCATGTTAGTAAATGCAGAGGCAGTGACTTGCTCAAGAGCACATCAGAAGTCATGGGATGGAGCTGTATGAAATCTCGACTCTGATCATGGGGGAGGCCTTCTCTTTTTGCTGCCCTTCAGCCAGTGCTCAGGTCAAGATTTAACATGGCTTTTATAACAGCACAAATACTTTGGAAGGGGGATGCTGAGCAAACTGCAGGGGGCTCTAATGGGAGTAGGAGGGAGGAAGGAGGTCCATACAGGAGAGAAAGGGAGCAGGTAAAATAACACTGAAGAGACTTGAAAAAGTCATACGGAATCACACTATTTACCTAAATTGCGTACCACACACACACACACACACACACACACACAAATACAGATTCATTCGTTAAAATAACAAGTAAGGAAAAGAGGTCACAATTTCAAGACAGATAAGGGAAGGTGTTGGAAAGAAAGGGAAAGGAGAAAAATGGTATAATTATATTTTAATATAAAACACGAAAACAAAAGAACTACATCAAAACAAGTAGGAAAGTCAGTGAGACATCTTGATGGCTAAAAAATAAAAATAAGAAAAATAAATAATAAAGAGATGTAGAAATATCAAAATCGCTTCTCTGAGACTTTCTTAAAGAACAGCAGTGAGGGACAAAGGATGGAGAGATGGCTCAGTGGTTAGTGACACTTGCTGCTCTGTGGAGGACGTGGTTTTGATTTCCAGTACCACATGCGAGCCACCCACGAGGTGCTCAGTTAAGTCAGGTTCTAGGGGATCCAATACCCTCTTCTGACTTTTGTGAACACATACATGGTGCACAGCTATACATGCAGGCAAAAACATTCATGTACATAAAATAAATATAAAAAGAAAGGAAAACATATAGCTTGTCAACTTTAAAATAAACAGCTATATAACAATCAAAATGCAATGGCTGTTTTTAAGCTCTGTTTTAGGTATTTGCAAGTCTTCTCATTTAATCTAACACCTTAAAAAGCATCTTTTTAACAGATGAGGTAAATTTAAAGAATAGTTTATCTGAAGGCCAATGAGAGGTCAGAGGTAAAATATAAATTCACCTCTGCCCATTTAAAAAATCTCCCAAGTTATCCTTTTAAGAAGAGTATTCTGTTATAGAGTAAAGCACAATTATGAGAACTACCCTGGAAATAAAAGCTGCTTAAATTCCCTCACCCCCGAGCACTTTAGTGTTTTCTCTACTCTTCCCCTTCTGTCACAGCATTCCCATCACCCTGCCTATACACCCGCATAGGAAGCAGACACTGTTCCAAAGCCTAGGCAAGCAAATTACAGCTGCTGTACAGAGGTTTCCTGTGCAGACCTACCATAACCTATGCAACGGTTCCTCTATTCCATCATAGTTCCCACTCCAAACTCTGCATATGCCAGGCAGGCACCTAGTGTTCACCCTACACAAAGCTACTAAATAAGCTTGACATATTTAGAATAATCACCTTAAGAACGATTTGTGGAATCGGAATAACTAGTTCAAAGCATAAATCTCTTGTAAACGGCTCTAATGTGTCAAATTACATTGTCAAACAAATAACTCTAGAAGATTTAGGAAATTGGAGAGAAAATTGTTGCAGTGGCCCACATAAGACGCTAAGCGGGTGTAGTGGTGTGTGCCTGCAATCCAGCTACTCAGAGCTCCAAGCTGGAACTGCAAGCTCTCAGCTAGCCTGGGCGACAGAGCTAGACCTGTCAGAGAGAGACATAAAGAGAGGCCAGATAGAGGGAGGGAGGGAGAGACGGGGGGGGGGGGAGACACAGAGAGGACAGAGAATATGATGATGATGACACTGTTAGATGAGTGTGGGGTTAGAGGAGAGTAAGAATGGTATTCCATTTTCTAGAAGCACAAAACATATACAGATTAGAAATGCAAAGTTTACACCCCTCAGCACAAAATGTGTCTTGGTAAGTGCTGCCAAATACATATCGAACTGAATTGCATGGTTATCAAGAGAAGTTTCAAAAAAGAGAAACAAAGAAATACTTACATAGAGCTCGCTAACTATAAAGGCATTTGGACTGACTTCTTAAAAACTCCCTGGACAATGACTGCACATATGCTTTGGCTGTTGTTTCGTTTTGTTTTGAAACAGTTATGCTGGCCTTCAACTGTGATCCTCCTGCATTAGCTGCCTGATTGCTGCGACGACAGGTGTGTACATGGCTTTTACGACTTGCCTTAAGTTATTTTCCCACTTTGTTTGTTTTCTTTAATATGTTTCTATGGCCATAGCCAGGCAGTGGGGGTGCATGTGTTTAATACCAGAACTCTGGAGGCATAGAAGGGCAGATCTCCGAGTTCAAGGCCAGCACAGTCTACAGAGTTTCAGGACAGCCGGGGCTACATGGCAGAAAAACCTTGTTTCAAAAGGGGGATATGTATGTATGTATGCATGTATGTATGTATATATTCATTCCATAGACATCTTCAGTGTAAATCATTACTGACATCACAGGGCTGAACTGTAATTTGCTTTCAGCATACTTCCAGTGTATATGATCATATTCCCAGTGAGTTAGTAAGGGTGACATTGCTGAGGTAGAGGCTATACAACTTTGTGAAGACGTGGGTTCACTAGTCAAGTTTATACTGTCAACACCTGTACTTGAGCTCTACCGGAATCTTCATTCCTAATGATTACAATTAACTTCTAACATTCTTTGCAAAATGACTTAGTGTGAGGGTGTTGGATCTCCTGGAACTGCAGTTACAGACAGTTGTGAGCTGCCATGTGGGTGCTGGGAATTGAACCCAAGTCCTCTGGAAGAGCATCAGTGCTCTTAACTGCAGAGCTCTCTCCATCCCCGACTTAGTGTTTCTGTTTGTCTGTCTTTCAACAGGACGATGAAGCGCTCTCCTTCACTGCATGCATCTGTATCTGTGCCTGTCCGTGAGTGACAGTGCACTCATCTTCCCTAGCTTCTGCATGCTCCACTTCTCTGTTTGTTTGACTGTATTTGCAGTGCTGGGGATGGAACCAAGGCTCTCATGCGTGTTAGGCAAGCTGCCCACCACTAAGCTAAATCCTACCCTTGGAAGCTTTAGTTACCTTACTACTCTTTATACAGAAATAATTCAAATTATCATTACAGTTCCACTTCATTGTACTTCAGGTATATAGTATTTGAAGGTTGAAATTTCATTTTTATATTGTCAATTATACCTTTTCATGAGGCTGTTTCTGGTGAAAAAAAAATTGTTTCTTAAGATATGGAGAAAAAGGGGCTGGAGAGATGGTCCAGATGTTAAGAGCATTGACTGCTCTTCCAGAGGTCCTGAGTTCAATTCCCAGCAACCATATGGTGGGTCACAACCATCTATAGTGGGATCCAGTGCCCTCTTCTGGTGTGCAGGCACACACGGTGTATACATAATAAAAAAATAAATCTTAAAAAAAAAAGATATGGAGAAAAAGTTGTGGGGATTATATAAAGGAACACACACACACACACACACACTCATATAGACACACAAACACAAATAAACACACACACTCATATACACACACAAACACACACTGATTTACCCAGACTTGTTGAAATAAACTCATGAGGGCTTCCTACCAAGCAATTCACTTATTTCTAAACATACTCTACGGCATTCAGATTAAGAGCACTGACAACAAAATACCAAGATCTCTTCATTTGATTTGTATGATGTCTCAGCTCTTAAAGGCAGGGTCATAACATCTAAAGCACCGGAAACAACAGCATCTAGGAACACAGAGGGAACAGGACATGCGGACTGCGCAGTCCTTCCTTCTAAATGGGCTGGCTACCTTCAAGGCCGGCAGGCTGAAGCCATCTGTCAAGTTGTGAGCTTCCTCTTCTGATATCTGTTCTTCCCCGAGGCCAAGCCCCAGCTCCTTAAAAGGTACCACACAGATGTAGTTGGTAACATTGTCACTCTCAGAGTTCAGGGGGTAGGTTAAATTAGGTTAAGGCAATCAACACCACCTCTTCATTAACACATTACAGACAGCCAAAAATATCCAAAACTGCATTTACTCTACAAGAGCGGTATAGCTAGTGACCAGAACATTGCCTAGCACTGTGTTCATGTGGTCAAGAAATATTCCCTGTCTCATCTAACATAGCTAAGCTCTTTGACCTCTTCCCTTGGACCAGTGAAGGGGAAGACTTCCCAACTTTTTCCCCCTGTTGTAATAACCCATAGCAGAATTCCTTCCTGTCAGGCCCCTGCAATACCCTTTCAGTTTTGAGGCAGAAGTGAAGGGAGGCAATCTCAATGTACAGTTCAGGGCTCAGGGTAACTGTAACATCTGATTGAGGGCTTTGGAAACATTGTTGACCTCACATAGACAGAAAGGATATTTTTTCAGCATGTACAGGGTAGCTAGCCTTGCAGCTTGAAAGTTGGCCCTCGCAGTTCGGTAGACAGCCTTCCGAAGGCCGAGGAGATGCTGGCTGGGATGCTGCCCAGCTTTATTAAACGAGCAAGCGGCACTGACCCTGTCAAGCAAACTTGAAAAGTAAAATGTGATACAACTGTACAGGTGTCCTAAAGTTTGTGTTTTCTAAATCCACAATTCTATTAAACTCAGAAAAAGATTTATTTCTTAAAATTATTTCAAAATACTTAAAAGTATTTCAAATCAAGCGTTGCCTCCTTTTTCTTGATATACACAAAGCCACTACAATGCACAAACAAAACAACAAACAACCGAACAACTCTCACAGAATATTTAGTCAAATATAGAGAACATGAATTTTAATTGAGACAGAATAGATGGGGGATATTTCAGTAAGAATTTATGGTTTTATACATAAAGATATTCTACCTGATAAAATACACTACAGAGGAAGTTCTTTACAGGTTTCAAAACCAGTATCTACAGGCTATATGAGGGCCTTAATTATCAATACTTTCTCATGCTTAATATTTTTTTTACATTTTGTCCACCAATCCCTTCTTTGTTCACATGTACAGAGCAGTTAACTACTATATATAAATACATTCTGTACATTCATAAAAGTAGGGCAAAATTACTTACCCACCTGCTGCCACTGGCACTTACCTACTCACAATGAAGTAGGGGAGGCAGAGAGGTACCAGGACCAGTGGCCAACAGGGGAATGCAAGCAGAAAAGCAAAGTAAGGGTTACTATGTGGCAGGCCAGCTGCTCTCAAGCTCTCACATTTCATGGGCTTTCCTTAGGCCAATGGGAACATGTTGCTTTATGACTGAGAGTAAGCAAGGTTAGATGCTGCAGTTATTCTAATCAGTAACCTCCTCCAATAGCAAGACAAAAAAAAAAACGCCAGCATCTGTAAACTTTCTTCATTAAACCACAAAGAGTAAAACAGGCACTGAACTGGAATGTTTACAATATAAACTATATGGACAAAGATGCAGGCTTAGTTTTAAGTAGGGGGCACAGGGGAAGAAAGGTTAACTTATTTCCTAAAGGACACGCCGAGGCGGAAACCAACCACTCCCAATCACAGTGTGAAGCGTTAGGACTTGTGCTTTGCTGAACCCATTTTACAGACTGAAATATTTCTAAGACACTTGAGGCAAGGTCCGATACCCCTTGTGACTCTTTAGCCCAGTGTCCATGAGAAACAATGAAACTACTTCTTCCAACATTCCTCTTTACCCACCTGCCACCTGGGCCGTACAGAAGCAGAACCAGGGGACGGGGACGAGTCGTGCTTAATGGCCTACTTTACAGGGGACGAGTCGTGCTTAATGGCCTACTTTACAGGGGACGAGTCGTGCTTAATGGCCTACTTTACAGGGGACGAGTCGTGCTTAATGGCCTACTTTACCTTTTCATGTTAATTCCATGGGTATGGGTAAAAGTCAGAAACCTGACAAGAGTCACAGCATCTTGTATACATGTCTAAGCATGGGTTGGGCACATGGCCACTCATCACTCAGGACTCTCATTAAGTGCTGTGTATGTCAACAATGAAAAGGAGATATTACTTAAGTGTGACTTTTAATTTTTAAAATTCAACAAACAACTCAAAATTTGCTATATACCGGTAAGAACTGGACCCAACCTAACAGAAGGACAAGATCAACACACGCAGGACTGGCTGTGCACTGAGCAGCAGAAGGCGTAAGAGTCTCCCATGTCATCTATACTGTCAGGGCTCTTACAAGGAGCACAGTGACGAACATGACGACTGCTGCAGATTCCTCCACGTCTCTGCCCCATGATTTTCCAGACAGAGCTTTGAGAGCAAGATGAAGAACTAATCTGGAGCAGAGCAAAGTGAACGATGCAAGGACTCCAGGAGGTATCTCACTCCTGACTTCCTCTATCTTCCAACCTCAACTAGATAAAAGCAATTACTGTTCACTGCACACTCATTTTCCCCAACTGTAAGTGGCAACAGAAAAATGTTGTACAGTGGGAAGGGACAAGAGAGGTGATGAGATGTCAATATATACATGTATGAAGCATGTCACAATGAAACTCACTGTATAATGTGTGCTACTAAAACATTTAGAAATTACATAAAGTATTAGATATATTATAGTCTAAGTGCCACCTGTGAACATTTAGTATACTGGAAATGGGTTTCTGAAGTCAGATGAGATGGATATGAACAACTGCTTTGTGAATATCTTCAGTTGTATGCAAAAATGATTAGCATAGCAATATGGGACATAACTGGTTCCCGGTGAGTGCCATGTCCTGCCTTGTGTGGTGTATGTGGTGTATGCACACATTTATGTAGCTACAGATGCCAGAGTATTCAGCAGGCCAGGTGTCCTGCTCTTTGATGAACCACTTCATTCCCTTGAGACAGGTTCTATCATTGAATCTAGAGCTAGGCTGGTGGCCAGTAAGCCTCAGCAATGCCTCTGTCCCCAGTCCCCTATAGCACTGGGGTTACAGCTGCATCATGTGGCCATGCCTGGCTTTTAACACAGCTGCTGGGGATGTGAACCTAAGTCCTTATGCTTGTACAATGTTCTTACCCGCTGAGCCATCGCCCTAGTCCTGCAATTCTCCTTTTTAGTAAGTATCCAGTATATTCTGGAATGTAAACATTGACAGCTAGACTGCTAAACATTTAGTTTCCCATGGGAATGTGCAACATCATTGTTAGCATGATACTATGAAAGTTGTAGTGCTACAGTAGCTGCTAATGGTTACTCAGGGCGTATTACTAATATATGTTTAGATTTTAAAGTGAAATCACATCAGATGCATTAGCCATCTAAATGGGCAATGAGGTCTTCTTATAGGGAATAAAGGAAGCAAACATTTATTGGGTGGCCACTGCATATGCAATGCAGTACCAAACACTGTCACTATCTCATCCAGTCACACATTAATAGGCCAAAGCAACTATGATTCTCCAAACATTTCTCACAAAACAGGAATCCAAGTAGATAAGCAAAACCATACTGTGCACCCATCTAGCAAATAACAATGTTATCCCTTCATTAGTAGACTTCACAGAAATAAAAACATGATATTCTCCTTAAAGTAAACAGCAGGAAAAAAATCATTTGAAAAATAAAGTGAGAAATGAACTCACAGAGTAAATCCCCTGGAAATGACTTCAGTTTCTTGGATAAGACGCAGAGACTTTCTCACAAGGTTAGTGAAGGCTCGGCTATTTGCGGCCATATCTTCCAAACGGACCCTATATTTTTTCAGAGTCATTTGTAGTTTGGCTGTCCTCCATAATTTCAAAGCTCGTATGATCAAGTAAAGAAATAGGATTATTCCCCATACCATCCAGGAAGACACAATCCACCAAGTGGGAAGCATAATGAGCAAACTAAAGAAGGCAAACAGCAGCGAGACATCCCTATGAACACAGAAACCAAGAAAAAGACAGCCATCAGACATGAGAGGTCAGTTACTTGAGTTAGTAAAAACGATAGATTTCAGTTTATTAAAACAAAATGCTAGCTTCTTTATGATGCAACACTTTAAAAATGTAACATATAACAGGGTGATGTGGAATAGTTTAAACATCTAGCATGTTAGGTAATGTTGCCTAGATATTAAAATCTGAGCTGGTGAATAAAGTAAAGGACATTGGCAAGAAGTGTCTTCTTCAACTGTTTCAGGAAGTATGGTATTTAATATGTAAATTATAGATTAGAAACCCAATTTTACAAATTAGATTTAAAAGTAAAAATAGTATCTCAGAGATGGTTTGAGTTTGTTTTGCCCAAAGCCATTTGCACAAAAGCATATTCCACATAGAAGCTGCTCTGTGCTTTACTTGCAGGCATGATGGTACATGCCTACAACCCGGGTGCTTAGGAGGTTGGGGATATATATATGCTACAAAATATATAATATATATATATATATATATATATGCTACAAAATAAAGTCATGTTTCATAAAGTCAAAATAACAACAATAAAACATAGTTGGTAACTAAATAGTCATCTAATTTGATAATCATCATTAACTGAAAAACATCTTTGTCACAGATCATGAAGTAGGCAAACAAGCCTTACACTTCTGTAGTATATTAATGGAAACAAAAGTATGCATAAAAATTTTATTTGGGTCAATTAAGCAATGGAGACTTTGGTGAAATGTATCTACATAAAACAGGAGCACAGGCAAATGCATGTGAGGATCTGTGAAAACAGCATCAATAATACTTGGGAGTTACAGTCATCCTCAAAGTCATGTGAGAATACTCCGTATGTGTTGCACGTGGCTATCACTTTCTACCTTTCTTTCTGAAACAGGCCCTTTCATTGAAACTCAAGCTCATCATTTGACTACACCGTCCGGCCAGCAAGGCTGCTGGGTCTGCTTTTCTCCACCCACCCATTGCTAGGGCAGGTGCATAGCACCACAGCTGGCTTTAGACTTTATGTGGGTGCCAGGGATCTGAATCCAGGCACTAAAAATGCTGGTGTGGTAAGCACTTTGCCTCCTGAGCCATCTCTCAGTTTGGAGAATGATTCTTGATAAATGGATAAATGTTAGCCCTAGCTTCTTCCAGAATCCATTACTTTCAGTATAATCATATATAAAAATGGCATCCTTTACTTTTATATATTAGCAGCTGCAGTGGTTTGACTGAGAATGCCCCCAAGGCTCAAATATTTGAATGGAGCTCTTTGAGAAGAATTAGGAGGTGTGGCCTTGTTGGAGGAAGTATGTCACTGGAGGTGGGCTCTGAGGTTTCTCTCTGCTGCTGCCCATGGATTAGGATGCGAAGCTCTCAGCTACTCCTCCAGAACCATGCCTTTCTGCTTCCTGCCATGATGACATGGACTAACCTAAAACTATAAGCAAGCACCTGAGGAAATGCTTTCTTTTCAAGTTGTCTTGGTCATGGTGTCCCCTCATAGCAATAGAACTGTAACTCTAAAAGCATTTATAAAATCTCCTAATTGCTCAGCCAATCACCTTCATGGATAAAGCACCACCGTGGCTGATCCTTAAAATCTGTGTGTGCCCACGTGTGTGTATGTGAACATGCATGTGCGTATGCTTGGGAGGACACAGGTCAACTTTAAGTGTCATTTTTCAGGTGCCGCCCACCTTGTTTCTTATTGTTCTTGTCATCGTTTGTTTCTGAGACAGGGTCTCTCTATGTAGCCCTGGCTGTCCTGCTACCTGTTATTTAGACCAAGCTGGCCTCAGACTCAGAAAGCTCCACCTGCCTCTGCCTCCTGAGTGCTTGGATTATAGCCATGCACCTTCACAACTGGCCCATTTTGGTTTTTGTTTTTAGTCTTTCCAAACGGGGGCTGGTCAGTGAGCCCCAGTCTCTGTCTCCCCAACACTGATATTACAAGCATTTACTATCATACCAAGCTTTTTTTAAAAATAATGTGGTGGGTTCTAAGAATGAACTTAGGTCTTCATGCTTGTATGGAAAATGTTTAGCAAACGCTATGTCCTAGCCCCATAAATACTTAACATCTATGGTTTGTTCTTAGCAGATCTTTAAATTCATTTGTTTATAAACGTTATTTGTAATATGCACATAAATATCTATTTTTGTGGGTCTTTTGGAGACAAGGTCTTCACTGTGAGTCTTGAACTCTTAGGCTCAAGCAAGCATATACTCAAGTAGCATATACTATGACCACACTTGTGGGACTCCAGGTAAACACCAGCATGCCATGCAAATTCCTCTGATTTTAAAGAGAAATATGTTTATTTTCTTGTGATGGTATTTCAGTGACTGCTGGCTTCAAAACACACTTGGCTATGTATTACAATTTTACAGGAAAGAGATTCAGAACACAGGACACGTAGCTACCATGTAACTTGAACAATTTGGGCAGTGATTCTGTACATTCCTTGATTCGGTGTCAAACATTATAAACAAACAGGAGAAAGGCACCATACATGTATGTACATTCAGAAAATCTTTATGAATTTACCTTTCCCTTTTGAAAAAAACTATTTTAAGACACATGATGATCTAGGTTTTGCATGAGACCCAAATATTTTCAGTAGATGAAAGGTTTCAGAATTGTTCTTGTTCGATTGTGTTATTTTCTTTTGAGACAAGGTCTTTGCTATATTGTGCAGGCTGGTCCCTAACTCCTGGGAACCCGTGATCCTACTGTCTCAACTTTCCAAGTAAGCCTTGGAATAGTTCAAATCATTAGTTACATTATCAGTTATGATCTCTCCTCAGCCAATATACCAATAATCAATGGTATATATATATATATAATACCAATATATAATCAATACCAATAATGTCTAAACCATTAGTACCTCTAATACAGCTATGACACTCTCTGTCCAGGGCTGACACGTACACTGTACTGTCATATATATATATATATATGTATGTATGTATGTATGTATGTATGTACATATGTACATATGTATATATGTACATTTATCCTTCATAGTTGGGTTGCTAAGCATAGAACTGATTTTGCTGAGTTGGAAGTACATGATGATTTTTTTTTTTCTAGCATTTTAGTTTTGTTTTGAAACATATGGACTGTTCAGGCTGGAGAGTTGGCTCAGAGGTTAAGAGCACTGACTGCTCTTCCAGAAGACCCAGGTTCAATTCCCAGCAACCACATGGTGGCTTACAGCCATCTATAATGAGATATGGTGTCCTCTTCTGGTGTGTAGACATATATGAAGGAACAATGCTGTACACATAATAAATCTTTAAAACAAAAGCATATGGAATGTTCATAAGGCCTTTACAATAGAGAATATTATGCTAGATTTCTAGTGCCAATATTCTACATGTAAGCAGTCAAAAGAGAAATGTTTTTCGGACAGTACCAAACATTAGGAGTTGCCAGGGAACAGAGTGTTGGAAGGTGTCCATTTTCCTGTGGGGGGTGCCCAGCAGACAGGATGCTGGGATCAAGTAGTTCAATTAGCTCCACATCCTCTTGTAGCAGAACTTCCTGTTGCAGGATGGTATGTAATGAGTCCAGTCGGAATCCAGTATCCTTGCCATCAAAATACAGGAAGAGACATATTAATACATGTGTAACACCACATTAAATGCTAAGTTTAACATAATTACAGTTACATGTATTTATTTTAAAAGTAGAATCTTAGAAGAAACAATAATTCAACCTCTCCTTAGTGTGACAGGTATTATTTTCATTGTAAATATAAAGCAATACAGATTAAGATGGACATTATTAAGCTACCAGATGTGAAAAATCAATTTTTAGTAATGAAATGTAAGGTAATTACAAATTAGTAAGTCTAGTCACTTATGCCTTCTTAGATAAATTACTGATATGCAATGTGAAAAGTATAATACACATAGAAAATATAATACAAAAGATGCTGACTCTGGGTACTGTATCAATGGAGCCCGTGTGGAGATCTGATTGAGAATGGCCCACATGGGTTCATATGCTTGAACAACTAGTCCCCAGTTGGTGGAATGGTTTGGGAAGGACCGGGAGGTGTAACCTTGTTGGAGGAGGTGTGTTACTGGGCATGGGCTTTGAGGTTTTAAAAGCCTTGGGCCATTTTCACTGTGCTCTCTGCCCCCTGCTTGAGGATCAGGATGTGCACTTTACCATGGCCTCTAACCCCTCTAAAACCATAAGCTGAATTGCATGCTCCCTTTTATAAGTTGCCTTGGTCATGGTTTTGTGATAGCAATAGAAAAGTAACTAATACTTAAGTCAGCACCTAAGAACTTTTACCAGAAAGCCTATACTGCGCTCTATCATTTAAGCAAGTAGATAATGTCTCTCAGTGCCAATTTCCTCATTTGCAAAGGGGGTAAACGACAGTACCTACTTCATAAGTAAGCTGACACCTGTAAATCATGAAGGGTTTTTCTATAGAAAGCATTACGTGCTTTACCACATATGAAATAATTAGAGCCTGAAACCAAAGACCATGCTATGTTTATACAACATCACATAAAATCTACCAAATAAAAGAACAGGTAACTGTCACGAGGCTGGTAAGGGAAACAAGGTCCAACAGGATGAGTGTTCAGAACAGCTAGGATTGCTTCCTGAAAAGATTGCCATAGACTGATAGAAGACAGAAGAATTCACCACAGAGCAACAGCACAAGCACAGCCCTAAGGATAAATGACATGGAAGATTGGGTTCGTGGACAGAAATACTGATGGCAAAGCTGCCAAGGCAGGCTAGGGTTAAACTGTGCAGACTCTTTAGTACTGACATGATGCTAACAGAAATTGTGGCTTTTTAAAAAGTATCAGCATTCAAGCTAGAGAAGCAGTATGTTCTATTGTAAAAAGCACAGACTTTGGATTCAGATCTGGGTTCAAATTCTCCCTCTATCATTTCCTGCTGAACATTCTTGGACAATTCGCTTAAAAAGGTTACTAGGCAAAGCTGTCTAAATCTTGGTTTTCTCTCACTGGTACAACAGATGAAATCTTACGTGGGTTGAAAGCATTTTTTTTAAGTGACTGCTTTACAAGAGTTAATTTAAAAAGAATGATAATTCTTAGGATCACAGGCCAGCAGAGAATTCTAATACCTGCTCACATCTCTGAGAACCAAGGGAATTTAGCAAATTGGAACCTTCTAGGCATACTGCATGGACGTTACACTGGTAGGGTATAAAGCTGACTACACCTCTTTAGAGGTTGGGCTAAGCAATGGATACATTGCAGCAAAGAGAGAAAGAGACAGAGAGAGGAGGGAGGGAGTTTTTACAGGAACCAGAAAAGCCATCAGTACTAATTCTGGGGAGTTTAATTTATGGTCCCTCGGGACTGGACTGGCTGTGCCAATCAGTGCATTTATTTCCTTCCTTCCTAAGAGGAATACCTGCCAATGACAGAGACGGCAGTGAGTTAGCAGTCTAACAAGGCCTCAGCAAGAGCAGAACACTGGCTACCTTTTCTAAGAAATAAGAACAATACCAGCAAGCCTCGTTTAGAGGGCCCCAGTTACTGCGGTAGAATTTCTAATAAAGGCCAATCACATCACGATCATTGCAAAACAGATTTTGATCCCTCAGTTTTCACTATTACAAGGAACCTGGAGAAAGTAACAAAACCAAGAAAAGCGAACGGACACTCACCAACTTGTGGAGAAAGGGATCCTTCTTACTATACTGAGAGGAAGAAGCCCAGCTCTTGACGGTCTCTGTCAGTTTGAACAGGATGCCTTGCTAAAGATGATCAATGACATGTGTAGGATTATTAATTAAATACACATAAAAGGTACAAAGACTAAACAACTTACCTCGAAGTAACTGGAATTTTTGTCAGAAAAAGAGAAAAGACTTAGTCAAGTTATATATTCTTGTCAGTGTACTTATTTCTACTTTTAGTTGTGCTACAGAATGACCTAGAAATTGTATTTGAATTACATTCCCAGGTCGCTAAACTACAGTTTAATCCAAAGGATTGAAACGAGGCCTGTAGATTTGATTTTTTAAAAAACAGTAAAGGTTGCCCTAATGTAGCCCCTTTATCAGGGGAAGACTAAAGGCTATTTGCATCAACATGACAATTATGTTTACTTCAGAATAAAACTGTACTATGGCCCAAATTCTCACTATTAGTATCATTTTGTTATAAAATACTAAAGCAGAAAGATATCTTAATCCTTTTATAAAAAGGGTCATGTACCAAAAGTTTTATTAATGAGTCAATTAAATATGCAGTTTAGCTTAACAGCCTCATTCCCTGAGTATGCCGGTAAATGGAGTCTATAGTCATTTGGCAGGGCTGGAGTAATGGCTCGGTCATTAAAGGCGAGGCTCACAACCAAAAACACACTCACTTAGTGATTCCTATATCCCAGGCACTGTGAATAACCATGGGACAAAGGTAAACACATGGAACTACTACTTTAAGGACTTCATGAAGAAGCAAGGACAGAACAAAATAGTTCACAGCAGTGTAAGGTCCTCATCCCAAATGAAGTCAGTCACCAGCAACCGAGTCAAACATCTGACACATAACCCAAAGTCATACAGTTTGATACCTGTATGCTTAAAGAATGGTGGTAATTACTTTAGGTATTTTCTCACAGCCATTCTTCTCTGAATGATTTTTCACTTGGGACCAGGACAGACTTCTTAAACTTTGTTTCTTCCTTTGTTAAAATAATTTTGTTTATTTATTTATTTTCTATCCCAGTCACAGTATCCCCTCTCTCCCCTCCTCTGTCCCCACCCCCCCCACCCCCGTTTCTGTTTAGGAAGGTCAGGTCTCCCATGAGTATCAGTAATACATATCAGGTTGCAGTAAGACGAAGCAGCTCCCCATGTATTGAGGCTGGGCAAGGTGACCCAGTATGAGGAGTAGAGTCCCAAAAGCCAGTAAGACTAAGAGAAATCCTCGTTCCCAATGGTAGGGGTCCCACAAGAGGTCCAAGTTACACAGCTGCCTGGTTGTCAGTTGAGTCTCTGTGAGCCCCTATGAGCCCAGATTAGCTGGCTCTTTGGGTTTTCTTGTAATGTCCTAATCTTTCTGAATGGCCCTAACCATATACCTGCCATTTGTGTTTATATAAGAGGCATTCTCAGCATTGACAATCACAGAATCAAAATATCAACCAATTCTGAAAAAGGGTAAATATATTCTGCATCCTACAGTATCAAATATTCAGTGAAGATTTACTTCTCCATGTAAGAATAATCAACCATTAGTATATAAATTAGCTTTTGTCTTTTTTTTTTTTTTTTTTGAGATAAGGTTTTTTTGTTATATAGCCCTGGCTGTCCTGTAACTTCCTTTATAGACCATGCTGGCTTCAGAAACCTACTTGTCTCTGCTTCCCAAATGCTAGGATTAAAGGCATGTGCCACCATGCCCAGCAGCTTTTGACTTTATTATATGGTCAAATCATATGTTCACAAATAATAATTATTATGTTTTAATTATTTATTTGTATTTCATGTACATTGGTGTTTTGCTTGCATATATGTATGTGTGAGAGTGTTGGATTCCCTGGAACTGGAGTCACAGACAGTTGTGAGCTGCCATGTGGGGAATTGAACCCAGATCCTTTGGAATAACAGTCAGTGCTCTTAACCACTGAGCCATCTCTCCAGCACCTGACAAATAATTGTTTTAAAATAAACTTTGTTATGATTTATTTTCAGAAAACATTTGATTGGTATGCCTGTTTTATATACCTAGATGCTCAGGGAACATGAGTCGAAAAAGTTTAAGGAGCTCTGAGCTAGGGCAATGATAACTCAAGAAGAGGTTTAAAGAAGCTTAGAAGATGTACTGACTCCATAACTATGTGATTAAGAGACTACTTCTGTACGCAAGAACAGAGAGGCATCCTTGACAAACTTGACATAAGACATTAGATGTTGGGTCTAACTTCCCTCTGGAATTAGTCTCTCCCGATCTGTTTTGAAAATGCAATACTCAATTCTATACAACTTGTAAGAGGGAGTCTTGAGAAGGGCTGGAAGTTGGGGTAGACTTTTGGACATTTGCTGATCTTGCATAGGTCTAATGAGTTGAGTCAAGGCAGATGTGGTGTGGCGTTCAGGGTCACTGAAGCGGATAATTCCATTTAAACCAGGATGTTATGGTCAACTCCTTGGCTTGGATCTTCTACATTTCTGGAGACTTTGTTATGTTCTACTGGGTTGAGGGTACTTGGGAATGTGGCCAGGGACCAGGGCTTATACATCAGCAGCAACATCTTGGCACAATGCCACACAACAGCACCTAACTGTTCAACTTTTACATGTAAGTTTATGAGACACAGAAAACCTGGTAGGGTTCTCTCTCTCTCTCTCTCTCTCTCTCTCTCTCTCTCTCTCTCTCTCTGTGTGTGTGTGTGTGTATACAACTCAGTGGTAGAATGAACGTCTGCTTGGTATAGAGAAGCGACATGTTTAAACCATACCACCAAACAAAAACAATCCCAAGCAACATCAGAAATTGGCTGGCAAGATGGCTCAGCTAGTAAGGCCTCTTGCCACCAAACAGAACCACCTGAGTTTAATTCCCAGAACCCACAGTGGAAGGAGAAAAATATTAAATGAATACACCTCTTATTAATAGGAAGCTATCACTGACAAAGTTCTAAGGCTTTAATATATTCCTTTGGTCCTCCAGATAATTTCAATATTTAAAGAAGTATGTTAATTCTCAAATCATTTTCATTTGCTCAGCTTGTATAAATTACTCACAAAAAATTCCAGAGCAACAGTAAGGACTGAAGTTTATCTTTAACAGTTGCATTCTTTTAGTAAAATAAAATCTTGTTAGTGTGAAGAGGAATTGAACTCAGGGCCTTGGGCATGCTAGGCAAGCACTGTTACCACTGAGCTACATCTGGCCCCAAGGACAATTTACCTAATTACTAAGGTAAAGAGCAAAAGGTTAAGCCATAGAAGTTGAGCATTCTTTCTTACTTTTGGTAGGACTCTTGTGGGAGGCATTTGAGGACCCTCTGTGAGCAAGCATTTTTCTGTTTTGGGTGGCAAAGAAGAACATGTTTCAAAATCTGTGTGTCCCAAATCCTGTAAGTACTGGTAAAGTGGAGAATTCTGAAAGAAACCGAAAATGAAGCAAATGTCAAGATCACTAATGCTTCAAAAGATTTAAGATCAAATTCAGAATCATACCTGCGTAGCTACTTATGTTACGCTTTTTATGGCTTTTCTTATGAAAATTAAAATGATCTGCTATAGTAAAATGCCATTAAACACCAATAAATCAACCAACATGCAACAAAAAGACCCAAAAAGGAAAAGCTCTAAACAGACACACATTTTTTGAGTGAACATTTGCAAGAAAAATGAACTGAACATTATAAATAGATTTAAGCATTTTTTTTTAAATCCACATTTTTGTTGTCTTTAAGTAGACCATTCCAAAACAGGCAGTGGTAGCTATTGATAGCTGCCATGAGGACCTAGAATGAAATTACTATTTAAAGCCAAGAATAAAATATATTCATTATACTTTTATGTGTAATGTTACATAACACGCTTATTACTTTATTTAGCACTAATGCACATATTACCCACCATTCTTGGCACTACAAACAACTCAAGTTACTTTAGGAAAGCTACCACTCACATATTAGATAATGCAGATATGAGAGGCTGGCTTAAAATGAGCCTGAGATCACAGCAGTAAGAAAACAAACATCTTGACATGGGAGTGATATAACGCCCTACATTCCCAGAACTAGGGAAGCAAAAGGGCTGTCTATTTGTTAAGACTCTGTCTCACAGCAGACAAAATGAAAAATAAAATAAAATCAACTCTGGAAGCAAAGTTTAGGTTCGAATTCTAACTCTGATTGTTACTAGCTAAGAAATCCGTGGCAATTTACAAACCAGGATGCTCCAGCTGTCTCACCTAACACCAGGAGACTTTCATTTAATGCACAGGTCTCAACATGGTGTGCACACTTTTACTCCCAGAACCGAGAAGCAAAGGCAGGTGGAACTCTTGAGTTTTAAGCCAGCCTTTGGCTGCTAGTTCCAACCAGTAAGGCTTTCTGACTTGGCAGGGTGATTTACCACCAGCTCTGGGAGCTGTGCTTACTGCTTAGACTCTGGATTATGCAGCTTGTAGCACACTGACCATAAACCTTTTTCCTCTGTATGAGTAAAAGCTTAATCTGCCATTCAGCATGCTGTATGGCTTGGAGACATGGCCCCTGTGTACTGCAGCAGGAATCCAACATGCTGTGTTCAAGCCTGACTGCCACAGTGTCTCTGTATCATGGTCTGCATGAGACTGTGAAACTAAGAAGCCCAATGTAGCTCCGTTTTACATGGAAAGTCTTGCCTCACATTGGGCGCCATTTGTAGACGGAGGTTTCTGTCCCAGGTGGTCTCACAACTGTTTAGCCCCAAATAAACACAGAGGTTTATATTAATTATAAACTGTTTGGCTGATGGCTTAGGCTTCTTACTGGCTAGTTCTCTGGATTATTAACCTATAACTATTATTTTATATCTTACTGGAGAATGCCCGGTGTCCTATCTTCCCGGTAGCTACACGGCATCTCTCTGGCGGCTCTTCTCTGTGTTCTCTCCCCAGAATTCTTCTCATCTGGTAGCCCTGCCTATACTTCCTGCCTGGCTACTGGCCAATAATGTTTTATTTATCAACCAGTAAGAGAAACATATATTAACAGCATACAGAACATTCCCCATCAGTCTACTTTGTGAGACCGTGTCTCAAAAACAAAAATGAAAAATCCAGGAAGCACTTAGAACAGTCCCTGGCATACACCTTTTGGAAAGGGGACAGGTTAAGGAACAGAATCTTGGCTCAAGTACTGAGATATTCTACCCTGTAAGGAAGCTCTTTAAGCTGAGAGGCAAACAACCTAAAGTATCTTCAGAAAGTCCCCCGGACTGACCAAATTCTCTAGGCCCCTCCCTGCCAGAAAAAGCAATAAAAGCAGCTATTTTCACTCAGACAAATAAAGCTGAGCTGCAAAGAAGACTCCCAGATGAGCAAAGCTGCAAAGAACACCAGCACTAGACCGTGGAAGAAGCGGACCCCAGCCAAGATGTCCGGAAGAGGTTTAGACCACCCGAGGCAGCTGGGAAGGACAGCTCCGATCTGTTGAGCTGCTGCAGGCTCAGCAGTGTGCTCCGGGTTCCCAGCTTTGTGAGCTGTCACCCTTGCAGTAGTGGGCTTTGGTGATGCAGCTGTCTTCTAGTCATTTCTGCTCTGTAAGTAACCCTCCTCCATCCATAATCCTGTAAGCAACTCAACAATATTCACTGGTTCACCAAGTTGTACTTTTGGGTATCTGTACTTTGGTCTGTCATGGGATCCCCAGGAAAATTTTGTCATACAACACAAAATCACCTCAATTCCATTAAACAGAAATATATTGTTACTATTGGATGAAAAATTATTGAGAAACTTAACTTGGATCATTAGCAGAAATTAATTTTAACCTTCCAACCTTTCTAAAGTAAAAAGCGAGCAACATGTTTAAAAGTTAAAAAATTGAGGGGTTAAAGAGATGGCTCAGTGGTTAAGAGAACACAAGAATGATTTCCAGAAACCATATGGTCATTAACAACCATGTGTAACCCCAGTGTGAGGAAATCCAACAACCACATACAGGAATACATGCAAAACATTCATATATATGTATATATTCATACATATGTGTACATACATATAAAGTAAAATAAAGAAATAAACAGACTGAGGGGATAGAGAGATGGCTCAGCAGTTAAGAGCACTTATGTTCTTGCAGAGGACTCAGGTTTGGTTCCCAGCACCCACCACGGCAGTTTAAAACTGTGCACAACTAACTCCAGGTCTTGGGATCTGATACCCTCTTCTGACCTCCACAGGCACCAGGCCTGTCCTGGAACTAGCTCTGTAGACCAGGCTGGTCTCGAACTCACAGAGATTCTCTGCCTCTGCCTCCCGAGCGCTGGGATTAAAAGCGTGCGCCACCACCGCCCGGCTTATGAAAAATATTTTAAACAGTATAAGGAAAAATGTTTCTTGTCTCCTTATTTGATTTTTAAGTTTCTGGTAGCACACATGGTTAATTTTCTTTGAGACGGGGCTTTGTATTCTAGCACTAGCTGGCAGGCTCAGAACTCACAGTCCTCTTGTGTTGACCTCGCTGGTGCTAGGATTATGAGCACGGGCCATCACTCAGCTTCAAATCGTTAACTGGCTTTGTACCATGTGCTGGTTTCGGAGGGACTTGCTATAGAGGCCAGAAAGACTTTGTTTGGTCTTTTCACCCTCCTGCGGTTTCTGGTAGTTTGTATGTGCTGGGATGGAACCCAGAGTTTTTCATTAGGTAAGCACTTTAACAACTAAACTTTCCCCCCAGCTTCCAAATGGCTCATTTTAAAATCATCTATAATGTGTATTGAAATAATGCCTAGGGTTACTCAATCTGTATTTTCAAGTTGAACCTTGAGCCCTACCTTGCTGTGCCTTAGGATGGCAAAAGAACACTAGGTAGTTCATTCGTTTGGCTAGACCTTCTGAAAGGTTTCCATACTAAAAAAACAAAACCCCAGACTTGTTTTTAGAGCCCTTTCTTCACATGAACTCCTAGGGGGAAGATAATAAATAGGATGGATCAAAGTGAAGTTACTCCAGGTTTGCAGGCCATATGGTCTCTGTTAGCAGAATCAGGTTCACTGCTGCAGAGTGAGGGCCATCAGAAACAGCTAACACACAAAGCATGGGTGTGATTATGACCCAATAAAACTATACTCAATGAAGTCCGGGATTCCTACCATCTTCATGCTACAGAATATAATCATTTTGCTATCTTCTCTGATAATTTAAAAGGGGAAACCATTCTTTGTACAAAAATTGAGGTGGAGAGAATCAGTCCCAACAACCTCAACTTACTGCCTTCTGTTGCACCTATAGCCTCCAGTGAAACCAGGCACTCTTCTGAGAGGCGGCTTGGAGCACTCTTCTGAGAGGCGGCTTGGAGGGTGGCGCAGTAGGGACACATCCATAAATGCAATTTCTAACGCTTCCTATTATATGCCTCATTTTGGAGGTGCAAATGGTACCACTTCCCCACACATACAAACCCAGACCCTGCATGAACACCAAAGCACTAATCTTTACCACAGCATTAGTTTTAGGATTGCAGCGTTAGCTTTACTTATATGCTTTTGAGCCAAAAGAAAATCTGAAGTTTAAGCAACAACACACAATTTAAAACACTTTTTGGTTTAACTGAATGTTATACCAAGGTGAACTGACCAAGACACATATGTATATTTTAAGAACACAGAAGAAATGTTTAATGAAATTTTACATTAATTTTTAAAAAGACGTGTTCTTTAGTTTATGTGGATAAGTGTGTGCTTGTGAGTTTATATGTGGCACCTGAGTACAGAAGCCCACAGATACCAGAAAGAAAGGATACTAGATCCCCTGGAAGTGAAGTGACAGATGATTATGAACCACCACCTGGGTGCTGGGACTCAAACTCACGTCCTCTGCAAAACATGTAAGGACTCCTTAACCACTGAGTCATATTTCCAGGCCTACATTCATTCTTTAAAAATGTTTGGGGCTAACATGCTAGTTTTTTCTCTTAAACTGCTAAATAATCTTAATATTACTTGATAGCTCTCAGAAAACCACATCTTCATCAGTAGATTTCAACGTTAAGACCCTTTGAGGCTAAACGCTGGTATACGCTTGCAATCCTAATACTTGGGAGATAGAGGCTAGAGGACCATGAGTTCAGGGTTAGTCTTGGAAACACAGCAAGTTTGATGCTATCCTGGGCTACATGAGCCCCTGGGCTACATGAGACCCTATTTCACAAAAAAATCCCACAATTTACCCCCTCCTCAAATAATATAACATTTATAGTTTAAAAACTGAAGAACCCAAAGACAGTCTTCTGTTTACATATAGCTGTTTATTGGCATTTATCATATCAGAAATCAGAACTGAAAAAAATTACAATATTTGTTTTACGTAAAAATGGCAATACACTCATTAGGAGTTAAAAAAAAATGTAAGCGCTGTATTTAAATAAAAAATTCCAAGTGAAAAAATA